GATGATAGAATATTGATAGTGGTACCGTTTTATCATGCTTACGGATTGGGCTTGCTGTTACTCGGTCTTTTCGCGAACTGTACCTTGATCATAATGCCGACCTTCGAGCCGCAACTCTTCCTAACTTTGGTGCAGGAATATAGGATTACCTATCTGCCGGTGGTGCCGCCAATCGTGACGTTTCTGGCGAAACACCCACTGGTAGATAAGTACGACTTTTGCAGCGTGAGAGAACTTCTGTCCGCAGCGGCACCACTTTCAAAGAATGTAAGTTTTCTTCTGTTATCATGAAGTTTGTTCCCTTTACCTACCAATCCTCCTTCCTCCATCGCTCTGTACTAAATTATTACAGCAAGAAAAGCAGCCTTCGGCGGGACTAACAATAAGTGCCGGAAGTGAGTTCTCGATGCCGCAGATGCTGTAAGTACGAAGGACTGTGAGGGAAAATTCCGGGGATTCGTCACATTTGCACTAGACACGGCCCAAGAAGTAACTTTATCGCGTTCGTTTTTATTTAATTGGTTCACGAAGTCGCTAAGGAAGAAAAGAAAATAGAAGGCCGCACTCTTGCAAGTTTCACAATCGCTTCTTTCGCAAAATCCAAAACATTTCTTGTCGGTGGACAAAGTCTCTCACAGACGGGAAGAGGAGTAGAGGATCTCTTAAAACCAAATACGTCTCTGAACTTAATGGTTTCTAAGTGCCACTTTCTACTTAGATATTGTTGCTTTTGTCTCTCGCGTTGAGATACAATTGCAGTGCAAAACAGACTTCGAATATGACACAAAGAACGCTATAAAATGTGTTCAGGGTGTCCCAAAACTCTTAATTAATATTTCAATGCGTGAAAAAGAATGAAATTTTGAACTAAAAATTCCTTTACCAATTTTGGCTTAGGCCATTTTATTTACAGAGTTATTAACAAATAAAGTTAATCAATCAGATCGCGCTTAGCCGGATCGTAGCATATACCGTGCGGCTTTTCGCGCTTACTTCTCTCGATTAAAATTTTATTATAATTTTTCGTATTAATAAATAAATAAGTAAATGAATAAATCAATAAATAAGGCAGGTAAATAAATAAATAAATAAATAAGTAAGAATAAATTACTGGGCCAGCCTTCAGTGTCTCTTGCGTTTTACATTTCACACATTTTGCAAGTCGTTAATGTTAATTGCTTCGCATTTAATTAAACTAATTTTAAAAAATTAATTCAATGTTGGTGCAACCAGTTTGAAAACCATGGAAAAAAGAGAATGTTATAAAGGGGCCGATTTTGGCCCCCAAAGGTGTAAAAAAAACAATAGTGTTTTTTTATATATATTTTGATCTCCTGAATACGCTAGAATTATTAAAAAGTTTGTAGCGCTTGGGGAACGTCTTGAAAATTGAACATAAACACAGCGTATTTACAAAATTCGCTGTGTTTGTGCTTAATTTTTAAGGTGTTCCCAAAATTTCGAATTCAAAAGATCAAAATCTATAAAAAACACTATCGTTTTTACTTACACCTTTGAGGACCAAAATCGGCTTTTTTTTAACATCCTCTATTAAAAATTTAAAGTAACATATTTCTTTTTTTTCGCAGATTGTAACTGCGGTGAAGGCTCGCACCGGCATAAAATGCCTTCGCAACGGCTACGGCATGACGGAGTCGTCGTTTACGAGCAATGTGAGCGGACGCGACGATGATGATGACGAGTTCGAGG